GATGAAGAAGGAAATATCATAACGGACATGTCTGAAATACAGAAGAGAATTAGAAACTATTTTAAAAATTTATACTTCAATAAAATAGAAAATATTGAAGGCATAAACAAATTTCTGGAGGCACATGACTTACCCAAACTGAATTAGGAGGTCATAAACTATTTAAGCAGATCAATTTCAAGTAATGAAATAGAAAATACCATCAAAAATCCTACCAAACAAGAAGAGCTCAGGACCAGATGGATTCTCAGCCAAGTTCTACAAGACTTTCAAATAAGAAATAATACCAACACTCCTCAAAGTATTCCATGAAATAGAAAATAAAGGGACCCTTCCAAACTTATTCTACAAGGCTAATATCACCCTGATACCAAAACCAGGCAAAGACACAGCAAAGAAAGAAAACTTCAGATCAATATCCATGATGAACATAAATGCAAAAATTCTCAATAAAATTCTAGCAAATTGCATACAAAAACATATAAAAAAGATAGTGCACCATGATCAAGTGGGGTTCATCCCCAGGGATACAGGGATGTTTCAACATGGAAATCAATAAACGTAATTCATCACATCAATAGACTTAGACAAGAACCTTATGGTCATATCAATAGATGCAGAAAAAAATCTGACAAAGTACAGCACACATTCATGTTCAAAAAACTAGGGATAGTAGGAACATACCTCAACATTGTAAATGCTATATATGCTAAACCCAAGGCCAGCATCATTCTAAATGGAGAAAAATTGAAAACATTCCAGCTAAAAACTGGAACAAGACAGGATGTCCTCTTTCACCACTTCTATTCAACATCATCTTTGAAACTCTAGCCAGAGCAATTAGACAAAAGAAAGAAATTAAAGGGATACAAATAGGTAAAGAAGAACTCAAACTATCAGTATTTGCTGATGACATGGTTCTATATCTAGAAGATCCAAAAAATTCCACCAGAAAAATTCTAAGACTAATAAATGAATTCAGCAAAGTAGCAGGATATAAAATCAACACCCATAAATCAAACACATTTCTATACATCAGTGATGAATCCACTGAAAGAGAAATTAGGAAAACTATTCCATTCACAATAGCCTCAAAAATAAAATAAAATACCTGGGAATCAATCTAACAAAGGAGGTGAAATACCTCTACAATGAAAACCACAGAACACTAAAGAAGGAAATTGAAGAAAACCTCAAAAGATGGAAAGATCTCCCATGCTCCTGGATAGGCAGAATTAATTTTGTCAAAATGGCCATGCTACCAAAAGTGTTACACAGATTTAATGCAATTCCTATTAAAAGCCCAATGAAATTCTTCATATAAATAGAAAAAGCAATAATGAAATTTGTTGGAAAAATAAGAGACCCAGAATAACTAAAGCAATCTTTATCAAGAAAAGTGAAACAGGAGGCATCACAATACCAGAACTTAAACTATAATACAGAGCTATATAGTAACAAAAATGGCATGGTATTGGCACCAAAATAGACTTGTAGACCAATGGTACAGAATAGAGGACATAGAGATAAACTAGATGAGGATTCCAAAAAATATTCACTGGAGAAAAGATAGCCTATTCAACAAATGGTGCTGGCAAAACTGGAAATCCCTATGTAGCAAAATGAAATTAAACCTCTATCTCTCACCCTGCACAAAAATCAACTCAAAGTGGATCAAAGACTTAGGAACTAGGACTGAGACTCTGCAGCTAATAGAAGAAAAAAATAGGCCCAAATCTTCATCATGTCAGCCTAGGATTTGACTTCCTTAACAAGACTCCTAAAGTGCAACAAGTAAATCAAGAATCAATAAATGGGGTGGATTCAAATTGAAAAGCTTTTTTCTCAGCAGAGGAAATAATTAGTAATGTGAGGAGAGAGCCTACAGATTGGGAGAAAATCTTTACCACATGCACCTCCAATTAAGCATTACTCTCTAGGATATATAAAGAAGTCAAAAAACACCAAAAAAACCCTTAAAAAACAGTCAATAAATGGGCTCCTTAGCAGACACTTCACAGAAGAAGAAATACCATTGATCAACAAATATATGAAAGAGTGTTCAACATCTCTAGCAATTAGAGAAATGCAAATCAAAACTACTCTAAGATTTCATCTTGCTCCTGTCAGAATGGAGCAAGAATATAGGCAACAATAAATGTTGACAAGGATGTGGGGGGAAGATATACTCATACATTGCTGGTGGGACTGCAAATTGGTGCAAGCATTATGGAAAGCAGTATGGAGACTCCTCAGAAAATTGGAAATGGAACCACCATTTGACCCAGTCATCCTACTCCTCGGTCTATACTCAAAGGACTTAAAATCAGCATACTATAGTGATGCAGTCACATCAATGTTCCTAGCATCTCAATTCACAATAGCTAGACTATGGAACCAACGTAGGTGTCCCTCAATGGATGAATTGATTAAAAAATATGGTCTATATGCTCAATGGAATATTACTCAGCTTTAAAGAAAAGTGAAATTATGACATTTGCAAGTAAATGGTTGGAGTTGGAGAATATCATGCTAAGTGAAGTAAACCAATCCCACAAAGCCAAAGGCTGAATGTTTTCTCTGACATATGGATACTGATCCATAATGGGGGGGGGGGGAGAAAGCATGAGAGGAATGGAGAAAATTTATATAGGGCAAAGGGGATGAAGGGGAAAGGTGTGGGCATGGGGGTAGGAAAGATGGTGGAATGAGATAGGCATCATTACCCTAAGTACATGTATGAAGACATGAATGGTGTGACTCTACTTTTTTTTATAACCAGAGACATGAAAAATTGTGCTGTATATGTGTAATGCAAGTTGAAATGCATTTTTATCAAATATAACAAATTAGAATAAATAAATAAATTTAAAATTGAAAAAATCCACCAGAAAACTTCTAGAATTGATGAATAAATTCAGAAAATTAATAGTATACAAAATCAACATAATCAATAGTTTTCCTATGCTCCAATAATGAATCTGATGAGCAAGGAATCAGGAAAATGCTCCTATTCACAATAACCCCCCGAAATGTGCAGAAATAAATCTATGAATGCGAAAGCCCTTAAAATGAAAACCATAGAACACTGAAGAAAGAAATTAAAGAACACATTGGAAGATGGAATGACCTCCCATGTTCTTGGATTGGCAGGATTAATATCACTAAAATGGCCATATTAACAAAAATGTTCTACAGATATAATGCCATTTCCATCAAAATATTAATGTAATTAATCACAGAAGTAAAAAAAAATGCATATAGAAGAATACAGCATAGAGAAAAAACAAGAGCAAGAAGAGTGACACTGGAGGCATCACATTCCATGATCTCAATTTATAATACAGAGTTAGATTAACAAAAGGAGCATGACCAACAGAAAACTTCTAGACCTCATAGAAGAATTCAGAAAAGCAACAGGATATAAAATTCACACCCATAAATAAATTGTGTTCCTATACACCAATGATGAATCAGCTGAAAGAGAAATTAGAAAAACTATGCCATTCACAACAGTCTCAAAAAAAAAAAAAAAAAACCCTTGGGAATCAATCTAACAAAAGAGGTGAAAGACTTATACAATGAAAACTACAGAACACCAAAGAAAGAAATTGAAGAAGACCTTAGAATATGGAAGCATCTCCCATGTTCCTGGAGAGGCAGAATTAATATTGGCAAGATGGCCATATTAATAAAAACATTCTACAGGTTTAATGACATCCACATCAAAATATCAATGGCATTCGTCACAGAATGAAAAAAAAAAATCCTAAAATTCTTATGGAAGAATAAATCACTGAGACTAGCTAAAACAATTGAGAGCAAGAAGAGTGACACTGGAGGTATCACATTACCTGACCTCAAATTATGCTACAGAGCTAGAGTAACAAAAGCAGGGTAGGGGGTTCTGTGTTTGGGACTGTGGTCCCTGATGACTTCATGGCTGTGGCATGCTTGGTGCCTGGGAAAGTTTCTGTGCAATAGCATAGGATGCCTGGTTGCTATAGTAATATCCTCCATGCTAGGGTCTTATCAGTTTGGACCTTAATCTTAGGTACTTAACTCCTGGGAATAAAGGAAGTTGCTTGCTTGATAGCTACAATGTTTCACCAAGCTCTGGTGCTCCTGGAGCTGCCTGCCTAACAGTAACTTGAGACAATGGAATTTCTTGAGAACTGCACAAAGCTCCTAACATTACATATTGTAACTATAAAATGTAACTGCAGAAAAAACAACCTTACTGATACTCTAAACAATAATGTGGTTATGGTACTAATGACCTAATATAACCTATTGTTATAAATAAACATGGCCGCTTGGACAAAGAGCCACTTTGCCACATTCCTGCCTCCTGCACCTTGTCTCTCTGTCTCCTCTTTATTATTATTTTTCTTTACAAAGCAGCATCCTATTGGCATCAAAACAAACGTGAAGATCAGTGAAGTAGGATGGAAGACACAGAGACAAACCCACATACTTACAGCCATCTGGTACATGACAAAGGTGTCAAAAATATATGGTGAAGAAAAGACAGCTTTTTCATCAAATGATGCTGAGGAAACTACATATCCACATATCCATATGTAGAAGAATGAAACTAGATTCTTCTTCTCACCCTGTACAAAAGTCAAATCAATAGCCAAACTATGGAGCCAGGGGTCCCTGGGTCTCAGCAGGGCCAACCCCGAGTCTCTCTCCTCCTCATGGCTCTGCCTGGCTTGGTGTCTCTCTCTCTCCGTCTCTTTGGCTTATTTCTGTTTTTTGTCCCCAGTCCCTTCCTGCCTCTAAGGGTGTTTTCTCCTGTTTCTTTTGGTCCCTGTGTGTCCCCATCACCCAGCGCCCCTTCCCCTCTCCCTCTCATGTCCGTCCCCCTCCTCCTTTCCCTGGTCTTCCTCTCCCCCCCCAGCTCCTCCCCCTCCTCCGTCCTTCCTGCCCCTCCCCCCTGCCTAGTCCTTCCTCCAACCTCCCTCTTTCCCCCACCTCCCCGCCCCAGGCCTCACTTTGTCCATGCGGAGCAGGTAGGCGTCGATGAAGTCTCTGGGGGCGCTGGGGTCCAGGGTTGCTCGGTGCTTCTCCACACTGTGGCCGATGAAGGTGAGGACCTCCTGCAGGTTCTCGTAGACTTGCCTGTGGGTGCCGGGAAAGTGCTTCAGGACGTCGGAGAAGAACTCAAACACCTACAAGAAGGAAGGGGCACTGAGGAGTTCCAGGGGCCTAGCTAGCAAGTCACGTGGAGGGCAGCCATGCAGGGCCCAACGCCTCTGTGGGGAACCTCTGTCTTTCCCCTCCCCCCCTTCTCTTCTTCACCCTCTCCCTCCTCCACCCCTCATCAGAATCAATCTCTATCCCCGCTCTCTTTGTCTTCTCTTTTTTCCTCTATTCTTTCTCCCAAGCCCTCATTTGCTTTTTTCTTTTCCTTCTTGGTTTTTAAAAAATATTTTTGGCACCTTGTAATTGTACATAACAGTGCAAATCACTATGCCATATTCATACATGCACATACTCTAATTTGATCAATTTCAATCCCCAGTACCTTCCCTTTCTCTTCCCTTCCCTCCCCATCCACTCTGCCCATCCTTTTTCTGTTGGTTCTACTATTATCTTAATTAGTACATCATGATTTATATATACATGAATCCTTGTATGATATTTGTACACCGACATAACATTATTCAGCCCCCAGTACTTCCCCAATCCTCCCCTTCTCCATACCTCCCAATCTTGTTCCTCTACTCTTTTGGTACTGGGGATTGAACCCAGGGGCACTTAAGCATGGAGAGACAGGGTCTTTCTGAATTGCTAAGTGACTTAGGCTGGATAAGTTGCTGAGGCTGGCTTTGAATCCCTGATACTCCCGCCTCAGCCTCTTGAGCTACTGAGATTATAGGTGTGCACCACCACACTCAGTTCTTTCTTCTGTTTTTTGAGAGACACCTCATTTTTAATATGTCTTCTCCCCTGCCCTTTGGCTTCTACATACAAGAAAAAAAAACATTCAATCCGTAACTTTCTGAATCTGGCTATATCACTTAATTTCTCCCATACATCCATTTACTTGCAAATGGCATAATTTCATTCTTATTTATAGCTGAGTAGAATGCCATTGTGTATAGACACCACATTTTCTTTATCTTAGTCTGTTGATTGGCACCTATGCTAGATCCATAATATGACTATTGTGAATTGCACATCTATAAACATTAGTATTCACATATCACTATAGTATCCTGATTTTAGATCTTTTGGATACATACCAAACAGTGGGATATCTGGTTCATGTGGTGGTTCTATTTCTAATCTTTTGAGGAATCTCCATACTGCTTTCCAAAGTGGTTGTACTAATTTTAATTCCCACCAAAAATATGAGTGTACCTATTTCCCCACATCCTCACCAGAAATTATTATTATTTGTATTCTTGATGATTGCCATTCTGACTAGAGTCAGATGAAATCTCAGTGTAGTTTTCATTTGCATTTCCCTGATTGCTGTGGATGTTGAACATTCTTTCATGTATTTGTTGGCCATTTTTATTTTTCTTTTGAAAATGTTTATTTAGATCTTTTGCCCATTTATCAACTGGGTATTGTTTTTGAGTTTTTTATATATTCTGGGTATTTATCTTCTGTCAGAGGAGTAGCTTGCAGGGATTTTCTCCCATTCTGTAGGCCCTCTCTTATGCTCTTTAATTTCTTTTGCTGTGCAGAAACTTTTTAATATGGTGGCATCCCACTTACTGATTTTTGGTTTCCTTTCTTGAGCTTTAAGGGTCTTGTTAAGGAAGTTGGTTCCTGTGCCAATATGGTGGATTTCTGCCCCTAAGTTTTCTTCTAGCAGTTGCAAAGTTTCCTCTCTAATTCCTAGGTCTTTGATCCATTTTGAGTTGATTTTTCTGTGCTAAACATGGAGATCTAGGGCCTGGGGTTGTGGCTCAGTGGTAGAGCTCTTACCTAGCATGTGCAATGCACTGGGTTTGATTCTCAGCACCACATATAAATAAAAATGATTTTTAAAAAAAGCTCCATCAACATCTTAAAATACTTTTTTAAACATAGAGATCTAGTTACAATGTTCTACATATAGATACCCAGTTTTCTTAGCACCATCTGTTAAATTTCTCCAACATATATTTTTGTCACCTTTGTGAAGGATCAGGTGACTGTGTCTGTGTGGATTTGTCTCGTGCCTTTCATTCTGTTCCACTGGTCTTGGTGAGTGTTGGAAGGCCAAGACCATGCTGTTTCATTTCTGTCTCTGCAGTATGATTTGAGACCAGGTATTGTGATGCCTCCACTGTGGCTCTTCTAACTCATTATTGCTTTGGCTATTCTGGGTCTTTTATTCTTCCAAATGAATTCTAGACCTGTTTTTCCTAGTTCTGCAGAGAATATCACCTGGTGTTCTGGTTTAGATGTGGTGTCCCCTAGAAGTTCACGTGTAAGACAATACAAGAAAGTTTGGAGGAGAAATTATTGGGTTATGGCCTTAACCTAATCAGTGAATTAATCCCTGGTGGGATTAACTGAATGGTCACGGGAGGCCATGTACTTGCAGCCATGTTTGTTTATTTATTTAATTATTTTTACAATTTGGTTTGTTTTTCCTCTTTGATTAGTTTTTCATCCCCTCCCCTCTTTACTGAGGTACTACCCACAGTTGTTTTTTGATGTTGTTTTCATTTCCTCTTCATGTAGTGTTTTGCCCAAAATGCTTTGCAGTGCTGGTTTTCTGGCTGTGAATTCTTTTAACTTTTGTTTATCATGGAAGATTTTTATTTCTTTGTCAAACCTAAAGCTTAGTTTTGCTGGATACAAAATTCTTGGTTGGCACCCATTATCTTTCAACGTTTGAAAACGTTGTTCCAGGATCTTCTCGCTTTCAGTGTCTGTGATGAGAAATCCTCCATTAACCTAATTGGTTTACCCCTAAATGTAATCTGCCTACTCTCTCTTGTAGCTTTTAATATTCTCTCCTTGTTCTTATGTTGGATATATTCATAAAAATGTGTCTTGGAGTTGGTCTATTGTGATTCTGTATGTTTGGTGTCCTGTAGGCTTCTAGGATTTGTAAATCCATTTCATTTTTTATATCTGGAAAGTTTTCTAAAATTATTTCATTTAACAGATGGCTCATTCCTTTGGTTTGGACCTCTATACCTTCCTCTATCCTAATGACTCTTGAATTTGTTTTTTTATGATATCCCATATCTCTTGTATGTTTTGCACATGATTTCTTACCAACCTTTCTGAGTTGACTAGACTCTATTCGAGATGATATATTTTGTCTTTGTTGTCTGATGTTCTGACTTCTACTTGGTCTACTCTACTGGTGATACTTTCATTTGATATTTTAATTTGGTTTATACTTTCCTTCATTTCTAGGATTTCTGTTTAGTTTTTTTATAACCTCTATATCCCTGTAGAGTTGTTCATTTTCTTTTTGAATTTGTTTGTGTAATTCATTGTCGAGGTGTTCTTTCATTGCTTGCATTTGCTGTCTAATGATCTCTTTAAGATTCCATTCCATCTGAGTCAGGTATGTCTTGAGTTCTTTATTTGACCATTTTCTGATGTATCTAGCATCTCCTGTAAATTTAAGCTGTCCTGCATTGTCTGTGTTCCTTTTCTTCCTTTTTTCATGGTGTTCATGTTTCTTTCCAGCTCTGTTTGACTGCTGTGTTGTTATTTTCTCCTATAAATTTGTTTTGGTTTTGTATAGCTCCAAGTTCTATCCTTTGTGTTGGGAGACAATGTTTAGAGATGTTGGATTTAATTGTGATTTAAAGTAAATTCATTAGTTTCATTAAAGACTTACAGATTTTGATGGCATATAGAGAATTGAGGTTTGAACTTAGGATTTTATGTTAAGGTCGGGAGATGTGATGGTATGGAGGTTAATATATCTTAGCTTCTTTGGGGGTTGCTCAAATGCAGGCAGATATTAACAAGACAATAGACATGAGTACTTGGGGGTAGTTAAGGGCTTAGGCGGAGTATAGAACCATCTTGTAACATTCATCTATTTGCATTTAGTAAATTACACGTAATAGGAGTGGTCATGCTTCGGAGGAAAGATAGGGAAAAGGTAAGGAAGAAAGCCTCCCTTTTCTTTTCATGTTGCTCGCGTGTCTTCCCTTCTAGCACTGTGGATCCAAGGCATTACTGTTTTGACCCTATAGGCTTATAGTGCCCCTGTAGGGTTCCAATACCTCTCCTATGAGGGGAAGGACAATGTTAACAGATCCCAGTATAAACAATATACAACCTAAAAAGAAATAGTTGCTATTAAGACACAGTTTTGTCACAATATACAGAAATGGTGAATTATTATCTACAATATAATCAGTAGGTTTGTAAAAGGGTTTACAGTTTCTGATGGTGGACAAAGAATTGGGGTTGAGGTGTAGAATGATATGCTGAGGAGGTAGGAGGTGAGGATATACAGTTATTATATCTTAGGAAGTGTGACAGAGAAATCTAAAGAAGAAGGTTAGTAGCAGGAGAATAGAGAAAGTAATTTGGGGTAGACAAGTAAGTGGGAAGACAGTAGAGTACATAAAACAAATGCACATATATTAAGAAAAATAAAAATGGTAAAATAGTAAAAATTGGAGGAGAAACAGAATATACAACACAACTGTTCTATACTATTCATTTGTCCCAGTCCTCAAAACCCTAATTCATGCAAAGCAGTTGGTTTCACATATGTTGGGGATGTGAGAAGGAGAAGGAAAAAAAATCTTGAAGGAAAAAACAAGGATTGTTTTGGTTGGAGATCAATACTTTCCTGCTTCCCTCTCATCCAATAGGTGGGGTTTCTGTTGTTAGCTGGTATATCCACCCTCAGGATGGTGAATGTAACCAGGGTGTCACTATGCAAGGATAGCGGCTGCTGGGAGAAGGGAGAGTTAGAAACTGAGTACCTGGCCTTCTGGAGTTCCAAACTGGGAGTTGCCCCCACTAAAGATGGTGATGAAGGTGACCCAAGATGGAGGTGGCTGATTTCAGCAAAGGGGTGTCAGGTCGGGTCAGGGAGAGCCTGGTGATGGTGTTGAACATGGACAATGTGTTCAGAGACAGCTCTGTGGCCTGCAGTGTGTGCTGTCTGCTGTGTTCAGAGCCTGTGTGGCCAAAAGTTTTCTGTGGGTACTGATGCGGATGGTCCTGCTCAGGCACC